TACCTCATACTCCACCTATATTTGGCCATGCCAATGGACTTAACCTTGCAGGCCTCAAATGGCTTAGAGGGCCTGGGCCTTTCTTGCTCTCCTATCCCGAGATAAGAGAGTGATAGTTTTTCTTGCTCCACTCTGCTACGCAGCCAGAATGGATCACCTTATTAAAAGATCTTTCCACCAAAGCTAACCTGAAGGAGGCTAACACGCCCAGAGTGCTTGCAGTTTTGCTGCGATAGATTTGCAGACAATTTTATCACAGCATAACTGCAAGCGCTCTGGCCTCAATCAAAAGGTTGTGCAACTGGAAGAAGAGTGTGATCATGTGTTAGTGACACAGACAGCCAATACTGATACACAGCAACATCAAACAACCCAACTCAGGCAAATGGCACACCATATGAAAGACATTGACAAAAGAGGCAGACAACTGAATAACCACATGAGACACATGGACAACTCAAAACCGATGCCGGACACCCTGGCTGAAATCTTCAATGTCCTAATCTACCAAGTGCCGGACACCCTGAAAGAATTCATTAGAGTGCACAGAGCACTGTGCCCTAAAGGCCTGCTAAAGGGCCCACCCATAAACAAAAATCTGCTGCATGGAAAATTCAGGCTAAAATAGGACATATTGCACAAGGCTACACTGGCTTCGAAGTAAGTAGACTTCAAGGAAACTGTTCTGTATCCTTTCCAAAGCTGTGCAAACTGTACCATGACCCATGTATGAACTTGATACCTGATTCTTATTATTGACTGGCTTACATGCTCTTCATTTATTGCTTACATAAAATAAGTTGTTGAGGACTGTTATCTCAGAGGGGATTACAATGGGTTGACAGGCTATTTCAAGATAGGTTAATTGCTTGCTGGTCCACTGGTAACCAGGGCTGGTTAAGGGAAGGTTAGTGGGACAAGCTGTTTAATGGGAAAACGGCACTCTGCTTCCCACCCGTGTCACCTATGCCATCTCACTTCCACGACACACCAGGAGCATGCTTCCAGATTATATGTAAGATCCCAAACCTTCATGATCTCCTGTACTGCAAATTCTCAGAGGCTAGAAGTTGGGGGATCCAGAGGGAATATAGAGGATTAGGTGAAAGTGGGGAATATAGAGGAGTGAGGGGAGGTCAGTGGGAGATGGGCACCCTGACCGGGCTTGTTCATCTGTCCGTAAAGACCTAGTTGGGAATGGGCAGGGGTTGTGCTGGCTCCGCTCACTCAGGGGGACCCTGGTACCAAGGGAGGATGGAAGTTACTTCTAGTTTGTGAGATCTGATCACTTGCTGCTTGCCCACATTTTGTCTGCTTCAATTATAACCTGACTGGGGGGGGTGGGGGAGGGAGGGTGCAACCATGTACTGGAATAGTTAAGGATGGAATAACAGTATAGTTATTACCCATTACACATGGGGCCCACTCTGCAAAGACAGAATAAATGGATAAGGGTCTTAGATAAGTCCTTTGTTCTTGTTGGACACTACCCCCGGCAGTATCATTACCTATGAACCCTGACAAATGGCTCATAAGGGAAAGGGAGAATACGTGGTTGGGGTATTACAAAAAAATATATTAATCCAGAACAAGACATATAATACAAGTATATATCCCGCAGGCATACCGGAACAAGAATCCATGACAGGACTATTGAGATAGGACAATGCAATATTTCCTCAGTGTAGGCAACATAGATCAGGAACGTAAATCAGATTAGGTTCAGGAACAGAACAGCAGTTGGATTAGGTAAGGCCCAACTTCTCACAAAACAAAACCATCCTTCCCTTATACTACATTCTCCTGTTCTTCTCCCAAACTGTAAGAGTTGGATGTGCTCCTTGCCCAAATTCTGTCAAGTTTAGACGATTTGGTCATCTTATCTTAGCGAATTTTATCACCTATACTAGACCTGGGGACCTGGCTGGAAAAGACCCCAGGCCATGCTGGCTTGGCCCACTCAGAGGATCCAGATCTCTGCCACTACACCCTGAGGGATTCAGTGTTCTCAATTCGTGCATCGATACTCCCAGGCCCGAGTTAGAAATGGGTGCCTCTGCTCCCTGATGCCAGCTCCCAACCCTAATGTTATCTACAGAGATTTTCTGGGGTGGACAGTTCTTAGTCTACCTTCTGAGTACTTAAGTAACTTCTTTAAGTACCTTTTTTTTTCTCTCTGTATTCCTTCCTTTATATGGAGATTGTTGGCCAGGCTTCCCCCAACGATGACACTTAGACCAGCACCCTTAACCATTTCATCTATTAATGCTAGGGGCTTAAAAGACCAGATAAAGGATTAGGAGCATTAAGGGATTTCCATTTCTATAGTCTACCTGCAGGAAACACACTTCAGAGAGGGTTCTAGACCTAAACTCACAAATCACCATTACCCTAGAGGCTATTTTGGAGATAACAGGTGGAGAAAGTCCAAGAGTTCAGATATTTTTATTAGTAGATGCGTGTCGTTCCAAGAGGAGTCAGTTCTGGTGCACTGGGAAAGCAGGTTCTTGTTTGTTGAGGTACCATGGCAAACATATATGCACCCAAAAAGGGACACTATAGATTCCTCTCCCAGGCTCTTTACAAACTGCAGTACTTCCTGAGTGGGATATTGATATTGGGAGGTGACTTCAATCAAGCCCTGGACCCACACCGTGATTCATCCATCAGCTGGTCCCTTATCCAGACCCAGCACCTCACATTGATATATACACTTTTCACTCAACACAAACTGATGGATTGCTGAATGGCACTCCACCTGATTAAAGGGATTAAACATTCCTTTTGCAACCCTACAATACTATACTTCCAACTAGATTATTTTTTATGATGCACCATCACCTTCCCACACTGCATACAGGGGAAATAGGCACAGCAACTTGGTTGGATCATGCACCAGTATAGCTATGTCCTGACAGAGGCTAGACAGACATTACAAGATATTACAAGAGTACTTTATTGTGAATACACCTGATATATGTCTCCTATGATTCTTTGGGAGGCCAAGAAAAGTGTGATAAAGGGGTACTTCCTCAAAAAGAGTTCAGAATTAAAGAAAAACAGTAAAGCCCAGCTTACCTCTATAGTAAAAAAACATAAAACAGCTAAACAAGCTGAACAAACACGAACAGAACCCGTAACACGACTCCTATATCTCAGGCAAGATCTAACCACATTATTGAATTCCAAACACCAACGACATTCTGAGGCACAGAGCCGCCTTCTCCCCTCAAGGTAATAAGAGTGAGAAGCTAGTAGCCCGCCTGTTCAACAAGAAGAGACAAACTATGTATATAGAAAAAAAATCTGAGATAAATCCAACACATTGCACCGCACACCGGCCAAAATCCAGGAAGCTATTCGAACCTTTTATGCAGACTTATTTTCTCTCCCACAACCAAGTACAGAAGACGCAAAAGAAAACCTGACCCACCATATCCAATTGTACCTGACCTCACATGCCAGACTCTTGACAAATAGGTGTATAACCTCCTGGACAACCCACTCACTGTAGAGGAACTTTCTGAAGCGGTTAAATGCTCAAAACTGGGCGGTGCCCAAGTTTTAGCAGTCCCTTGCAGACATATTATACCACAACTAATCTCTACATTTAATGTCATTAGGGACAGACACCAGCTGCCCAGGCAAACACTTTAAAACCAAATCCAAAACTGCACTCAATCCAGGAAAGTACAATCCTGAGTACAACCAAACCACGAACCAGCACCAGGTCCCAATTTACAAGCTTGAAAAAGACCATTTAGGTCAAAATGTTGCTGACTGTTAGGTTGCATTACATTTTGCCTGGATTTTTTTTCTTAGACCTCCTTTTCTTTGTCATGAACCCAGAAATGTCCCTACTCAATATACTGAAAGCCTTTGAGGAACTTATCCTGGTTTGGCAGAGCACAGGTAGTGTAACTTAACCTTCTCCCCAGGTTTCTCTAGCTTTTCCAGACCATTTCCATACGGATCTCAAGAATATTTTTCAACACTAAAGGCATAGCGCTAGGTGGTTGTGTTTGCAGGGGAGGGAGATCTTGCTATCTAACTCATCACTGCTTGGTTTTCAGCAGGTCCCAGGAGACAGCATGCAACTATTTATATGTTGGTACCGTACACCAAGATCCCTACAGACCAGAAACCCTAAACATTCGGGACTCTGCTGGAGTTATGGGGACCATGTGGGCACACTCCTTCACATTTGGTGGGAGTGCAGGTGAATCCAAGCTTACTGGAAAGGCAATAACAGTATGCTGGAAATGTACGCAGATGCCACACCTCTCTTTAAGCCAGCTTCAATGCTCCTGCACAATACTAAAACCCCTAGAGCTATAGATGCAAGAAGTCACTCTCAATTTGGATTCTAAATACAGCTAAACAAATTATACTACAATTCTGGAAACAATCAGTGACCACCCATTAAGGGTTTGGTTCACACAGATGGAAAAGGGCCATCGAGGAATAGCACTTTGGAGCAGCGGAACCTATGTAAACCTTGTCACGAACGCACCCTACTCCAAGAGTGTGCATGACTTAGTTGTGGTGGTGAAAGGGTTCAAGTTCACTATTCATCTGCACTAGAAAGGAAATAATGGTAAATTTCCACTTAACACCACCCACACTTGATATAAATATTACTATTTTAATGCTGCCACCACCAAGACAATTTATAAATGAGATGTCTTGGTTCCCCAGGTAAATCAATAATAAAAACTCACCAAATACAACTTAGAGCAATATTTAAGGAATTGCTAAATACTAATTAGTCTCTTCAGGTAACGTGATTCTTTACCAGACAAAGGCAGAACTTAATAAAGGAATATTTATTATGAGCAAAAAAATAGTCACAGTACATACAAAAAATAGATGAAAAACAAACTATTTACACCAACAACATATAAAAACAAAAGGGAAAAAAATAACAGAAGTCCTAATCACTAGTGATGTCCCGAACGGTTCGCCACTAACGGCGAACATATGACCCTGTACCTCACAGTCAGCAGACACATTCCAGCCAATCAGCAGCAGACCCTCCCTCCCAGACCCTCCCACCTCCTGGACAGCTCACTAAGAATGCAGCTTCAAAATGGATGCTGTCCAGGAGTTGGGAGGCTCTGGGAGGGAGGGTCTGCTGCTGATTGGCTGGAATGTGTCAGCTGACTGTGAGGTACAGGGACATATGTTCGCTGTCCGTGGCGAACCGTTCGGCGAACCGTTCGGGACATCACTACTAATCACTTATTCAGGTTTTCAAAGCAAAACTTCTGCCTAGAGGGTCTCTGGCAAGGGATATGGTGACTCACTCAAAATTAGATTTTGGCCCCAAGCAAATACAAATACATTTCAGTATCATTACATATATACCCCGTGGATTACCAAGCCTGGCCCAAAGGTGGAGACAAGGCTTACTTCTAGAAACAATAAGTGACAACCCCCTTGTTTTCCGGATCACCATCAATCCAAATGGACACATTTGGTTCTACCTACTCTTATATACTTGCCACAGAAATAATAATTTCATCTATGAATTTACAATTTTTCCATTCATTAGATATGTCACACTTCTTACTTGTGACCCAATATAGCGGATATCACAATCCCGTCCAACGGCATAAGTTACGCAACTCAAGTTACGCAACTGTGGGTAAGTATTAATGTTTCTTTTGGATATGATACTGAACACAAGGCTAATGACCATTAACATATCAAACCTATCTAAGAGGGAAACTAGACGTGGTAAATTAGAGAGTTAGTTTATATTTAAACCAGATTTCCAGGCCACTTATGTGTGACTTCTCTCACCTTACATAGTAGCTCTGTTGGGGTCCCAGCTTTAAAGAGCAATTTTGGTTGTAGACCTTCTGCCCTCCCATGCAATCAAATTAACCTCTTTTTGGAATTGACAATAAAACCTCTACCAAGTAGCCAGTTCATCTATGCACTACGCAAATAACAATAAATGCACTACACAAATTACGATAATTCCATAGTGCAACAATGAATTATGCACACTTGCCATCACAAACCTACTCTGAGATCTGGTCACATTGGCTGCTGATCACCTCTGGTGCTGACTTTTGGGGCCAGACTGGGGACTGCCAGGGTCCCATAGATGGGCGGACCTGGGGGACACAAGGCTGGATGGCACTACACCTATTCACCCCCTTTTCCACAGCTTTTTTTCTTTCTCTTCTCTTCCCCCGCTCCCCAGCATACACATATTAAGATCACTAAACCATAGGGGACAGACCTATCCCCAGAAGTGGGAACATATAGACACTAAATAGTCATAAAAATGTTCAGAGAGAGAGGGATGACTACCCTTGCGGGAAAGACATATGCCCAAGCAGGCATGACACTCCCGAATTGACTAGGCTTGGACACTGAAAGATTTAGCAAAGGGGCTAATATCTGAGAGACAGTGAAGGAGAGGATGGATATCATAGATAGAGGGATCTTCCCTAACCCCCAAACCAGAAACCTTAAAAAGGAGGTCCATAATGGCTCAGAAAATGCAGGCTCACAAATTTATAGTCGAGTTGATGTCCCGGGAGGGGGTTTGGGCCCAAGTGCTGCATATCCTGCACAGTGTTCATTGGGTTTGAGGATGGGGATTGGTACCATTATCATTGCTGTTTCTAAATCACTTTCCTGGCTCTTTAGTTGGGATCTGCGAGTCTCCTGTTGTGTTATTTTATGATATTGTTGTTGCTACCGTGACCAGCATGTCTTAAGTTTTCTTTTCCCTTGCTTTTCTTGTTGCAATATCTGAACATGATTTTACATGAGTACCTGTGAGTGCTTTATTGTATGCTGTTAAACTATATAATCTCAGGTTTGTAAAAATATAATAAAAATTGTATCTACAAAAATAAAATAAAAGAAAGAAAACAGATAGGCAAAGGCACCTTGGTAATCGAATCCTGTCTAATTTTTTTTTAATGGAAGCAGTGTAATTAGCAAATTTGCTTCAATGTATTGTTACCTAAATATTATTAAAACCATATTTGGACCTGATGGTGCTACCCACACTGACTTACCTTGTTTACCCCTTTGAGATCCTGTATTAGCAATTACTGGTCAGATGAGAAATAGAAAACAATAATATACACGCTGTGAAGGACAAATAAATAGCTCTAAAACACCTAAAAAGTGGTATCCCTTACACCACTAAAAACATAATACAATACATACAGAGTTATAGGTGGAGCTGTATGGTATCTTGAACAATCTGAAAAATAAAATATATACAAATAGCGTAGTATATCTATACAATGTATAGTATATAAAAGGTAAGAATAGTTAAACTCACAAGACTAGAGTCATACCGTCATATGACTCTAAAAGTATGCTCCCTTGGACCATTAGGGGGTTGTCCAAACCCTTCTTTTGTTGGTTACTTGTTGTTCCCCCTGGTGATCTTTAGTGTATCTTCAATAAAGGTGTCCAGTGTACCGAGGATCTTTAAAAGCTGGTATTTGTTTATTTAAACAGAATAAAAAGTGAAAAATAATATAATATCAAAATGGCAATATACTATACCAATAGATATTGGAAATAGATAGAGTCCAATAAAAAGTCCAATAAAAGATGAAGCTTTGGAACAGTTATCTGATTATTTATTTGTATGTGCCTCAGGAGTTGAACATTTTCTGGCATTTTTAAGTGCATTATGTTTATCAGATATTATTTTTGAAATATGGTACTTTTCTTCATGATTACTTATAACTAAGAGGTGGAATGGAAAGTCATTAATTATGCATTCTGTGATAGGCATCAGCAGGCTCATGGAATACCATTTCCTTGCTGAAATTGCATCCAGAGAATGACAACTCTGTAGTATACTACCTGACAAGTCATGGGACAGTAAACTTGATGAATACAGTCAAACAGCAGTTGAGAAATGGGCAGTTTAGAGGCCAGGAGCTGTAAGTAATGTCTGGTGAAGTCCAGTCAATTATATTTTGTGAGACCCCACAGATTGCTCGTCTTTTATGTCTCTCAAGCTACAAGGAAGTTATGGAGCTTTTTGATGACCTCAGCAGCTGTTTTTGCACTCTTTTAAATAGTGGCATTCACATGACATAAACACTGGGAGGAAAGTCCTGGCACCGCACACTTTTTTAATATAGAAGTTGATAGGTTGAGCTTCTTTGGTTTTCCCTTTAGTCATAAGATATTTGAGAGTTCTGATAGGAGAAGAGTTTGAAACACAAAGTGATCATCTAAGATGAGGGTTAGTTATATCAACTTGTTAGATCAGTGGTAACGTCACTGCCTTACAACTGGGAAATCCTAGTTAGACCACCTAATTAGTAAGTGTCCTAGGTCAAGACACCTAATGATGTATAGTCACATACCTCAAATACTCATAGATTTTAGGTTCCTTTGAGCAGGGCCATCTTCTCCTCTTAATAGTCCATTTCTAAAATTGTAAAATGCTTTGGAATATGTCAGCACTATATATATGCTGTAATCATACAAATAATCATGCAACCACCAAACTGTTTTACTTTTGGTGTATTTTATCAAAATTATTAATTTATTATAACTAGAACGTTGTTTTTATTTAGAAGATGTGCTGATGTGCTAATGACAAACAAAGGAAATTAGGACTGAATTAAGACATGGCAAACACTTTAAATGTTCCTGTTATTCTATAGGGATTAATGGCTACAAATGAAGAATGCTGAAGGGGAATTGAGATGGTCTGAATTACTTGCTTCAAATTAATTATTTGGAAAATAATTAAAAGAATAAAGATACTATTGGAAATCTTGGCAGCACATTGTATTTTTCTTCATATTTTTTTCAAATCAAGTCAATAAAAATATTAAAAGCACAGATAGAGAAATACATTTTATAAATTTTACATGTTAAAATGTTAGTGATACACAGTGAAAGTTTTTCTTTTTTCTTTTTAAGGACAAGACAATGACTAATTGAAAGACCAGTGGTGTTTCTGAGATCTTTTCTGTGTTCTGATAAACTCTTGACCCACAGAATTATTATCTCAGTATGCCATACAAATCATGCAAGTTCTTGTGGCTACAGGGTCACAGGGCAGACTAGACATCTGAAGTATTGGCATGTGTTCTTTTTTTTCTAATTCTCTCACAAACTGATATTCTGTTGGTTTTGAAACCGATTTCTCCTATTCAGTAGAAAAATATGCTTTGTTGTCTGACTGCTTCCAAATGCATTCAGAAGTTAAAACCTCAAACGTTTGTATATATATTTATGTATGTACGTACATATACATATATATATATATATATATATATATAAAATATTCAAATACTTGCACTCCTGTAGAGATAGATTAATGCCTGGTGCTAATAAAGCAAATAA